CTCAATGAGTAACTGAGCACCTGAAGGGATAGTGCTCATGAGTCAGGTACTAGCAGGCTGTTGAATGAGGAAACGAGAAGATCTTCAGTTACATCAAACTCGTAAGCTCTTGTCACAAATCAAGGAAGGTCCAAAACAAAGGACCAAAACCGATCTAAAGATAAAGCTAGATCAAAGTCGAGAAAGGAGGTCACATGTTATTACTATGGCAAGAAAGGCACTTCATGAAAGATTGTCGGAACTTAAGAAAAAGTGAAATGAGGATAATGCCATGGATAATGGCAGGCTAACATTGTAGTATTCGCAGATGTTGGCGTTGTTGGAAACTATGGTGATGGATACATTAATATTGCATCAAGTTCGGACTGGGCTGTAGATACTGGAGCATCATTTCATGTTACCCTACATAGACGATATTTTTCTTCTTATAGAACGTGAGATTTTGTCTCTATAAAAATAAAGAACAACGGTTCCTCAAAAATTGTGGGTAAAGGAGACGTACACATCAAGACTGATGTTGGGATGAAGCTTGTACTAAAAGACGTCAGACATGTACCAGATATCCATCTGAACCTCATCTCAAGAGGGTGTTTAGATGATAAAAGGTACCACTCAGTATTCAGTAGGGGACATTTGAAGTTGACAAATGGATCTCTTGTCATAGCAAAGGGCAAGAACTGTTATTCACTCTACAGAACGTAAGTGAAATTCTTCGATGCCATGGAAGAATCCTCGTAAGATCTATGGCACAAGCGTCTTGGTCACATGAGTGAGAAATGAATGCAAATATTAGCAAAGAAGCAGATTATTCCAAATGTCAAGAGTACATCTCTAACCCCATGTGACCACCGTTTGCTAGAAAAACAACATAGAATCTCTTTCTTTAGCAAGAGCTCTAAAGATACGAAAATCCTGGATCTAGTGTATTCAAATGTATGTGGTCCCATGGATGTCAAGTCACTTGGTGCCGCATCATACTTTATCTCGCCTTAATCGATGATGTTTCAAGAAACTTGATGAAATCGAAAGATCGGGTGTTTTAGACCTTTCAGAAATTCCATGCTAAGGTGGAAAGGGAGACAGGCAAATTGTTGAAGTGTCTCAAATCAGACGATGGAGGAGAGTACATCTCGAATGCTTTCAAAAGCTATTGTGTCAAGCGTGACATAAGGCATGAAAAGACAGTGCCATATACCCCCATCATAATGGTGTAACAGAGAGAGTGAATCACACCATTATAGAAAGAATTAGGAACATGCTATCTACTGCCAAGTTACCAAAGCCGTATTGGGGTGAAGCAGTACTCACAACATACTACCTAATAAATCGATCCCCGTTATTTCCTTTGGACGGTGATATCCCAGAGAGAGTTTGGCTGGAAAAAGATATCTCTTATTCACACTTGAGGGTGTTTGGATGCAAGGCATTAGTGCATGTGCGTAAAGAACACATATCCAAGTTGGATGAGAAAGCACTCCTATGCATCTTCTTAGGATACTCAGATGAAGAGTTCGGCTATAGGCTATAGGATCCTGAAAACAAAAAGGTGATCAGGAGTAGGGATGTGGTCTTTCAAGAAGACATTATCATTGAAGGCGTGAATAAGTCAGAAAAGCCACTGATCTCCAATGGTTCAAAACTGGTCATAGTTCCTCCTATTATGATACATGAAGACGGGGGAGAAGTGCAACAAGAGGACGTGATGCAGAGCAAAAATAATAAACAATCAAAATATTAAAAAAATAATAATAAAAGTTTAAAAGATTATACCCTCTCTCAAGGTCTGCAAGGGAGTACACCTCAAAAATGATCTTTTCACAAGATCAACTTTATCAATTCTCATTATTTTATCATTATCTGATCATTTACAATGAAGGGATATCTTTATTTGAATAAACTTGGAAGAAAATAAATAATTAAATAAATAAAAAAACTACAAATATTAACTCTCTCTCTCATCCACATTTTTTCTCTCCCTCCCTATTTTCTCTCTCTTCATCTCCCTATTTTTTCTCTTTCCTCATGTGTCAATCTACCCATCACATGGAGTCCCTTGAATCAAGGAAACTCCCCCATCTTCATATACTCCCCATATCTTTTCCATATCTAAATCTCATATTTTTCTTATATTTATACCCCCTTAAATCTCTCACTAAATCTAAGATAAGCTTAAAAAAAACTAACTCACACCAAGATTTTCGCATATTTAAAGTCCATATCTTTCTCATATTTATATTGCCCTTAAATCTCTCTCTAAATCTAAGATAAGCTTAAAAAAAATAACCCACACCAAGATTTACCTTTTTAAAAAATTCACGTTACCCATTCCTAAAAATATAAAGTCAAAAAGTAATAAAATTACAATTCTAAATTTTTCCTAATTTGATCTTCATCAGGATGGGTCTCAAGAATTAGACAAGTTAGTTTCAACTGATGTGGAACATGGGGAGCAGCCTGTTCAAAAAGTTCCACCTACAGTTAAACTGAGGTCCTCTAGGGGACACAAACCCTCTACCAGATACCTTGCATCAAAGTATATCTTATACCCGGAAAGGGATGAACCAAAAAGCTACTAGGAAGCTCAAGCCGACGAACAAAATGAGGAGAGTTAAAGTCATGCAAGAAGAGATGGAATCCATGCATGACAACCACACCTATGACTTGGTAAAGTTGCCTAAAGGCAATAAGGCACAAAAGAACCAATGGGTCTTTAGAATAAATACTGACGAAAAAAGATACAAGGTCAGATTGGTTGTGAAAGGTTTCGGGCAGAAAAAAAGTACCGACTTTGATGAAATCTTTTCTCCTGTGGTGAAAATGTCATCAATCCGTGTGGTGTTAGGCTTGGCTGCAAGCTTGAATCTAGAGATAAAACAGCTCGATATCAAGACTGCTTTTCTCCATGGTGATTTGCGGTAAGAGATCTATATGGAGCAGCGAGAATGATTTAAGATAAAAAGAAAGAAACACATTGTTTGCAAGTTGGAAAATAGTATATATGGGCTGAAACGGGCCCCAAGGCAGTGTGGTACAAGAAGTTCGACTCCTTCATGGGGAGTTATGGGTACAAGAGAACAGCTTCAGACAATTGTGTATTCGAGAAGTTCTCCGACGATAACTTCATAATTCTTTTATTGTATGTTGATGACAGGCTAATTGTCGGTCAGGACATTAACAAGATTGACAGGTTGAAAGAAGAGTTGAGCAATGTCTTTGTCATGAATGACAGTCATACTCAACCGATCTTGGGCATGAATATCTCTTGTGTCAAGAAGGCTGGGAAGCTGTGGTTGTCATAAGAAAGGTAAATTTTTCCATACCCTTTATCTTTGGCACTCATTTCTTTGGGGACCCAAGATTTTTATGCTATTTATGACGGCATTAAATATTTATCTTATCTATCTTTCAACCCTCTAGACTCTTTTTACTCTATATTTTTTACCTAAATAATTTTGAAATGACCATCTTTTATCAACACCTAAAGTCCTGTTAACCCCTCCGTCTCTCTCTCAAAACTCCATCAATTTCTCTCTCTCAAAACTCCTTTCTCTCTTGCCCCTCTCTCTCATGTCCAAATTCAGTGGGTTTCTACAACTCTCTCCATCACCTCTCTCTCTCTCCCTCTCAAAATTCTCTCTCTCGCCCTCCTCTCTCTCTCTATCTCTCAAAACCCAAAGTCAATGGGTTTATGCAACTCTCCCCATGTCTCTCTCTCCTCTCGCTCTCTCTATTTCTGTCAAAACTCCGCAAAGAGAAAAAGACACGCCTCCTTTACCAGTAGTGGGAAGTTTTTGTTCTTGAGAGAGAGAGAGTTCTTTAATATGAAGAGAGAGAAGAGCTTGCACTAAATAATTCACTTTACACTAATCTTCCACCCTTTCCAAACTCCCAATTCCCTAATATAAATAGGAAAGAGAGAGAGATTGGTATTGAAAGAAAATGCCACGGCCTTAGTCTCCATTATCCACGCAATAATTTTGATCTCTCTCCATTTTCAGGTAAGTATATTTTGGGTCACTGTTTTATTAATACTTGATACTTCTTTTTTCCTTTTTAGCCTTCTTTGAATGAAGAATCAATATCCAATTCTTATTTATTTCCTCATTTTGTGATTGTCATGAGACCAGAAAATTCTTGTCTGAAACTGAATTAGACCCCTCTCTCTCTCTCTCTCTGCTTGCTGTTGTTTATTGACCTCTTTTGTTTAACCGTCAATTTTCCAATGGTTTGTACTTTCTGAGTATGTCAGTTGCATAAGCCCACTGACTTTGGATTTTGAGAGAGAGAGAGAGTGCCAAGAGAGATAGATTTTGAGAGGGAGAGAGAGACAATGGGAGAGTTGCAAAAACTCATCGACTTCGGGCATGAAAGTGAGAGGGACGAGAGAGAAAGGAGTTTTGAGAGAGAGATTGACAGAGTTTGAGAGAGGCGGACAGGTTAACGGGATTTTAGGTTTTAATAAAAGGCGATCATTTCAAAAATTGTTTAGATAAAAAATATAAGACCAAAAGAATCCAAGGGATTGGAAGATTTAATGTCATAAAAAAATACTATAAAATCTTAAATCTCATTAGAAATAAGTGCCAAAAATAGAGGGTACAGAGAAATTTACCCTTTTTTCCCCCAAAGCCATAAAGATGCAGCAGAAAATTGCTTTTATTAAGTATTGCATATGGGCTATACAAGTTACATCCCCAAAATTTAAGGTCCTAAAAATACTTCTTACGTATTGCCCAGGAGAACAAATCGACAATATGCTCCCTTAGAAGAGTGAAATCTTTTGGCTAAAAGAAAATAGATTTTGAGAATCAATTATGGGACTTTAGACATATATGGAGTGCGTATAAAATTATTAGAAATCCTTTGGCTAAACGGAATTAGATTTTGAGAATCAATTTTAGAAACTTAGACATATATGGAGTGCATATAAAATATTTAGTTTCTTTTATTGAGATGTGTCATTCCGTTTGAGGAGGTCAGTTGTGCTTGAACCAAAGGAATGAATCCACAAAATGGTCCATCGGGCTTTTGTCTATTAGAACTTAAAACTTGCAGCAACACCTTTCCCCAAAGAAAATTCTCACAACGTTTGGTTATAAGAACAAATTTGCCATGGTACATGGGGTATGGGGAACCTGGAAACGCCATGGAACAATCCTATGGACCTTGCAGGACACCATGGTACGCTGGGTCCTCACCCTCCATTGAATGAACAGTGACATTAGAGAGCACAACCCAACGGAATAAAGATGAATCGCTTATGGAGTATCCGACTCCTCACGAGGTCCCATCGGTTCAATTGACCGTGATTTTGTAACACTGCTATTTCCGTATCCCATCAGTGTACATTATTTTTCACCCAAGAAAAGCATGTAGCCCTCCTATTCTCCCTCTATGTCATTATCACACAGGAATAACAGTGACAATCCAAACCGATCCTACCACTCCACGAGATTTTTGACACAGTAGGTTCCGAATACAAACCAAATGAAGAGGAGAAGGGAGAAGGAGGCGAGGCCGAGGAGGAACGGAGGGCCTACCATGAAAATGCCTAGGGCAAGTACTACAGCAAAGGGGAAGAAGGACCGAAGTACAGAGGTAGGATCCACCCACCGTGCTCTTAAGAGCACGAGGGCCCCAATGTTGAGGGGATTCCAAGAAACAGAGCCACTATAAGCAAGGCGGTTGAGGCAGTTGGCAACAAAGGAGTGGGAGTTGCAGGTCAGGAGGTTATACGAATGGTGTTGAAAGTGTTGTGTACTCGACCTTAGGGCATCGTCCCATGAGATCGCAGTTCCACGCTCCAAGTGCTTGTATCTGTTCTTGCATGTGTGTCCTGATAAGTGGGGTGGAAAGCAGCACTGCAAGAGAAATAGCATCCAGAAAATGGAAAGCTTATTAGTTCATTTCTCATGCAACTTGATGTAATTTAGTTCTAATGCTGACTATATAATATAGCAGGTTTCTTAAAGAAGAGAAAAAAGTGGATTTGTCATAATCGAGAGAAATATTGATCATTGAAAGATTGGAGTCTGTGTCGGGATATGACCAATATCGATAACAACATATCATTGTCACAAAGATGTAAGGGAAAATTGTTCTCAAAAAAGAGAAAAAAGTGGAGTTGTCATAATAGGGAGAGATACATCATTGAAAGATTGGCATCTGTCAGGATGTGACCAACATTGATAATAGCATCTCATTGTCAAAAGACAAAGGGATTATCGTTCATTGTCATGCAACTTTGAAAATAAAAGGATAATGAAACAAAAGACATTTCTCCGTAAGTGAAATACTAAATTTCAGTTCTTTATTGAGTATATGATCAATTTATTTACGGGACATCATCCTCAAATGCACAAATGGGTCATTCGTCATGCAAATATAAGTAAAGCTACAACATCTAATTATGTCAACTATCCCAAAAAAAAGAAGAGAAAAGAAAGATGTGTTCACCACTGAATAATAACCATTAAAAATATAATAAAACACACTCAAGTGAATTATCAAAAGGACCAATATTCAAGTGTTCGCTTGAATTAGGGCAGAAATGACCAAAATGAAATAAAATAAATTCATGGAAAACCACAATATCTTCCTCTCTTTTGTAGAGGTACAATAACTAGTTAATTATGCAATGGAAATCAAACTGCTGCCTGACTTTGAAAGAGAACAATTAAATCATTCCATACGTACGAACCTGATCTCTATCTAGTTGGATGTATCTGGCTACAGCTCCAAACGTAAAGTTATCCACACTGACAAAATTTGAGCCCGAGAAATCCAAGATTGTGCCATCCTCACGGCATATACCAAGATGCCCCATAAATGGAGCCAACCAAGACACAATTGGGAGTGGTGTCCACACAATGCAGCAGGGGAACCTTGCCCTTTTCAAATCCACTGGCGCAAGTGGCCACCTTTCAAGAAGCATACTTTTTGAGTGCGCATCCTCGATATCATCAGCTGCCTTCACTTCCATTTAGAAGCCACATTCATTCAGAGAACTTCCTTGTTCAACTCAAATCATGAAAAGGCCCTAGAATTGGCTGCACCCCAAATGTTGGGTAAGAGTTAAAACCATTAATAGTTTTCAATTCATTAAAAACAGAACGGCAACAATTTGCAGCATATTTGAAAGAATATTATCTAAAAGCTCCAGGAATATGCTTAACTCCTGACTATCATCAGGCCAGGCAACTCATAGATCAGATGAAGTTCAAAACTAAAACTACTTTTTAAAATTATAGAAACTTGGATAGAAGTTGATACACAATTCTGAAATGGCATCATAAATAGAACACCAACACCAAATCTATGCATAAACTTCCCACAACGAAAACTGCAAGAATTATCATATCTTAGCAATATGAAGGGGAGCCAATGAATATATCCCAACAGTACCAACCACCCACAAGAATGCAGCAAAAAAAAATAAACTGGTATAATGAAGAAAGACACATCCCGGTGAGTAGATCTCAAACTACATCAACATCAAAATCAGATCGATCCATATCCTATTTTTATCTATCAAAATTTGCTACAAATATATGTCCTGTTGTTTTGCAAAATGCATATGCGCCTTGGCCGCAACGCCTTTTGGGTATATATAGATAATAGATACGATATCAGTTAGTACCACATGACCATGAATATAAGGCATCAACATATAAAATCCAATCCCATGCACCAATACTCCTTCCTGCAAATGTGCATATGGTGAAAAGAAGAAATCATGCAAAATCTCATGGACCAGTACTTTTCTCTTGGGAACGTGGTGCCAGAATGCTCTGATCAAGCATGCAAAACCAGATTAGTACGTGACTAGAAGAAACAAAATTGGTGCTTCAATGTGTTCAGTGGCAAGCATCAAATAGTATTTCAGAATCTACACAAGCTGAAAAGAAACAAAACATTAGGTATGATTCTGTGGACTGGATATTCTTCCTCGATGAAGAAAGGTGCATCTCCTCAATATTCTTGGGACAAGCATGAGATATAATGTTGGCCGCCATATGTCTCACATTCAGTACTACAATTGATGAGAAACAAAGCATTTAAATGAAACGAAAAATCCCTAATAGAAAAGGTAACCAAGCAGCACGAGTCAAGCTTGGGTTTAATTTATTAAGGTGTTGACATTTGCAACATAACATCCAAGTTTGAATCTTACAGCTGAAGTACCCAAAAGAAAACAAGTAACCAAGTGAATGCACAGGCAAGCCCTGGGTACTCTGCATCAAGCAAGGTACTAAGCATCATCACAAAATTAGACACTGGCCCACCGTTTTTTAACTGCTACATGATACTAGTACATATAATCACACAATAGTCAACTGGTGCTTGACAAAAATTTGAAGAAACAAGTTTAATTAACCCCAGTTAATAAAATACTCCAAGGCTGCCTAAAGTAATATCACATGTCATCTGACAGATTCCTTAAGACGCTAAAAAAATAAACAAGCCTACAAGTGATATGGGAGATTCGGAAATACACTTGATAGATAGAAAAGTAAGACCAGGGCAAGTGAAAGTGAACAGCAGACTCCAGCATACATTTCTCAGTACCTAGTAGGTATTGCTAGAAGATCTCAATGATATTTGTGATGCTTGCGAACACAAAATGCCAGTCTATCTAGAGGTTTACATTCATTGTTACCAAGTAAACAATGGCACATTTGTATTGAGAAAGAATAACCTTAGCTGTGTTCGAACCACAATGCCTAAACATATTGGTACCCAATTCAAGATGTGACTCAGTACATATGCCTCGATGAATGTTAACTAAATAATGAGCACCAGGAATGCATCATTTATGCAAAGAGGAACACATCAATACCCTTAGCATACTAAGGACCAAAAATTGATAGAAAACTTTATACATGAAGGAGAGCCCGAAAACTTCAAAGTTTTCTGAAGGAATTCAACTGCAAAGATCTTTTGTCATACAAGGACTATATCATTCTTTTATTTTTTTCAATACAGTGTATTTATGTCGTTTAAAATGTAAATACTTCTTTTGAAACTCATCTATGTTAGCTCAACTACAGCCTAAATGGAGAAAACTGGATTTTTTGTTTTTTTTCTTTTTTTTGATATGTTAATGGTGGGAATGGAGGGTGGGACGTTACATTGAGGCATCTACTCCCCTAACCACCGATGCCCCAACCCCATTCCCGAGAAAACGGGAATTTCTTCTTCCCTCTACAATACGGTATCAGAGGAAGGTAGCCCTTGAGACCGCAGCACTCCATGTTTGAGAAAAGAAATATGCAGATACCAATGTTATCAAATGCAGTCGCATGAGCATCAATCATTATTGGGTTGGCCCCACATTGAAAGACCACACATATGTGAGATTTGGTGATGTGCCAGCATATGTGGTGCATCACCTGCATATGCAGGCACATCACATCATGGGGATGTGCCTGCATATGCAGCCTACTGCTCTTGGGCAAAAACACGCCCAAAAGCAAGGGCAACATGGTCGTTTTCCTCAGAAAGGAGGGGAATTTTTTTTCCCCTTGTTTTTGGGGTGGTTGGATTTTTTTGGGTGGGTGGGAGGGCAATGGGGCTTGATATGTATCTCTTTTTACATGATTTTAACTGGTCTTGGTGGGGGGGGGGCAATGGGAATTGATATTTATCTCTTTTTACATGATTTTAACAGGTCTTGAACTTAGAGATTGAAATCAATTCTTGTTTCCTGAATCCGAAGCTTTTGAAAAAAAAAAACAAGTAGGCTATTTGTGGGAGACCATTTGAGAATCTTTTTGGTGTCTTTTGAAGGTTTTTAAACGATGATTAACCAAGTATGATTTATGTAATTGAAAGTAGAGAGCATAGAGTGTATTTATCATATTTTTTCTATTTCATACGTCATAAATTTCTGGTATTAGGAGTTTTAGACTTTGGTGTTTGGATGTTAATGTGTACCTAGGAGTTGTGATTATGAAGTAAGTTTCATTTTTGGATGTTATGTTATGGTCGGTCGTGACTCATAACTATTTGGGGTGTTGAGCTTTATTTACTTAATTTAATGAATGGGATGGAATGGATTACTTTACATTTCAATTATATTAGCCCCTTAGAGAGTAATAGAGAACATATTTTACCCTTTATCAGGCTGTCAGGCAACTCAGACAACAACATATTAGAGATAAGTACTAAATTAAAATGCCTACCATCACATAAAGCACACACTTAAATTTTTCTATGCCTTCTTATATTTTCATACTTTTTAAAAGTTACTTTAAATTTATTGACTGCAGTGGAGGTGATAAGCCTGTATCAAGACCGCTTCGTCAATGGATAGTGCATTACACCCCCCATCACAACGACCCCACATCCCGCATTTGATAACATTAGCAGATACTAAACAAACTACGAATTATAAAAAGAAAAACAGATTTCTAATGGACTAGCTGTCCCATGCATGGAATAACTATGCTACAAGCATCCTTTCGCTTCTGTGTTTAGGATGAGAATCATGGAAACTCAGACACACTTTACAATATTTTTGACATTTCTTTTGTATCTCCAAGAAGATGTAGAAAGAAAAATAAAAAGATGAAAATTCACAAGAGGGCGAAAATTCATAAAAGAGAAAAAGTGCAACTCCCAAGGAGCACTGAGGCTCATGGAACTCCATATCTCCAAAAGGGGTATTTGTGCGTTTGCGTATACACACCTTTGGGAGGCTCACTCTTAAGGACCAAATTCATAAGAAGAGACATCGACATGAAAAAGACCTCCACCCACACTCAAGCATGTCATTGTGACTGTGAGTTAGGTTTTGACGAATAACAATGTTTTATACCAAGCACTATAGTGTGTCACTTTATTGAGGCATGCAACAGAAAGAAAAACCAACAGTAAATCAACGAGTCATCAAAAATGCCATTTGCGAAGCTTTGAGCTCACCTCCGTCATCACCAAAATCTTACTTGCTTGTTAACTTGTTGATCCACCTTTAATTTTAATTTTAGACAAAACACACTAACATTCCTTTTAAAAGGATAAATCCAGAGCTGCTATAATCCGCAATGTGCAACATGATACCAAAAGACCATCCTACAAAAAAGAATGGTCTATCATATCGAAATGCAAAAGTGATTTGTCATGCTTGTTACTCAAGAAAATAGATTACGGCTTTGTTCTGAAACTTTGGACATACATTAGGCATGCAACACTGTTCAAGCATACATCCGAGTTGGACATTCAAGGCACTGATCCAAATAGTGTTGGTTGCCTAATGAAAAAGAAAATTTTGCCTAATGCAAAATAAAATTTCTCAAACTATGTGACACTTTAAGCCGTCAGATTTCGCAGTCAATAGCTAAAGATGATTGTGATTTGTGACCTTGTACCTAAAGTGAATGGTCTTATAGTATATAATCCCTTAACTAATTTACTCATTGAAGTCCTTTATAATGTGGCTTAGTATGTAACAATTGTCTTTCCAGTCTGGTGTGCTATCTGCCTCCCTCACAATAATGTCCGGGCAAGATTTCTAGATAAATACTCAACAAAACAGTAAGTTATTGATATCAAGTACCGGGAGAGGTTAATTAATCGATGATGCATTTAGGGTGGTTGAAACCAGACTAGCATCAGCATGAGATATAGAAAGATGACGTCCATCATCAATATAAATAAGGTAATGATCAACATAGTAAAAAATATAGAAGGCATGCCTAGCAACATATTTATATAACTTTTCCACAGACGTATCATTGTAAGCCACATATGATGTTCAATAGATATAGGGTGCGGTTTGTACAGAGCCAAGGCGCTAAACAATCAAATAAAGCCCACCTTCAAATAGTATCGAGAAATGTGATTTCAATACTGGAAATCTTTTTGATAGCCTTAAAATATATTTTTATCTCTAGTTATAAAAATTTAAAGCACTAGAAATCTTTTTGATAGCCTTAAAATATATTTTTATCTCTAATTATAAAAATTTAAAGCTCCAAAAATAGTGTAGATTTCACAAATCTAGGAAATCTCTAAAAGACAAGAATCTTATTGAAGCAACAGAAAAGCT